GGGAAAGAGGTAAACCTGAGAAAGATTAAAATACTGTGGGGTGGTAAAAAACAAAACAATAAAACAAAACAGCCAGGGAGGCTGAAGACCTGAATTCAAATCCCACCTCTGCCCCTAGCTGTGTAACTTCAGGCCAGTCACTTCTTCCCGAGCCTTAGTTCCCTCATCCATAAAATGCAGGTATCAGGTTAAACAAACGGATTTATTCACTAGTTCCTTACTGAGTACACACAATGTGCAAGGCATTGTTCTAAGTGCTGCTAACACTTTGGTGAACAAGGCCCCTGCTCTCATAGAGCTTGCATTCCCTAAGAGGAAAACAGACAATGAAATGAGTAAAATTCATGGACAGGACAACCAGGTGATAATAAGTGCAATGATGAAAGCAGAACGGTGATGGGATAGTACAGAGTGGCAGCTGTGGCTGGGTAGACAGAGAAAGCTTCTCCAAGGAGGTGACATTTCAGCTGAGACCTGAATATAGTGCGTTGGCCAAAGAGTCGTCAGCAGTGAAGCATTTCAAACGGGAAACAGCAAGAGCAGAGCCAGGCAAGTTCAGAAACAGAAATGCTGTCTCTTACATTCTAGGAGTCTAGAAACAGCGATGCACTGCTTACATTGTTTAATTTGGTCCGGGATTTGTATTATGAAACCGTTTCTTGGTGGTGTGGCATATTTGCTTCTTTATGGAAGTGTTTGGGCGGTGTAGAATCTTTTGGGAGCCCTGGGATACGTCCCTGTCTCTCCAGCTCTCCCACAGTGCTGGCCGCTCAGCTGGCTCCCTGTGTAGATGCAGGCTCCATTTTAGCTGCAGACTCTAAAAGCAGACTGGAGAGAGCTGCCTCCTCCACTACTTACTCACAGCCTTGAAGGCCCAGAACCCCTCCCACCCCACCTAGTCCTCTTCCATTCTGACAAGCCAGAGCTTTGAGAGCACAAGATTCAGCTTCCTTGTTTTCCAGTTGGAGCAGCAGCCAGAAAATGAAACAGGAAACAGAGCGGAAGAGAAGGGGGGTGGGTAGTAGAGAAGGAAAGGAAGGAGAGATTGCAAGAAAGTAGGGCTGAAGAGCTAGACAAAGTTCTACCTCTAAAGGGTGACAGTTGAGCTTTTAAAAAACATTCTGATGTGTCAAAAGAGACCCCTGTCCTTTTTACAAACAGAATTTTGAGGGAATTTGGTGTGAACAGAGGGAACCTAAAGAATGCGTGTCTTTTTCCCTTGTGAATCCACAAAGCAAGGATAGTTCATTTCTCAGTTTTGTCTCTGCAAACACAGTACTGCTTGGAGCCTCACAGACTTCTAGAGATTCAAGCCACAACCTTAGGCCCCAGGCACGAGTGTGCCCCACGGCTCTGCCGATTCACTCACATCCCTCCGGAGCTGAGAACAAGGGTGTGTCACTGAAAAACCTGGGGTTCTGAACTCCATTTTTCCCCTTCTCCTTCAACACACCACAACTAAAACGTGATTTATCCACCTTACACACAACAAATACCTGAGGGCAGTTCAGGTCCCAGGGCCTGAAATGAGCTATAACGAATCAAAAGGCACAGTCCCTGGCCCCCAGAGAACTTCTGTGGATTCGCTGTCTTCGCCTGGAGCGAGAGCAACCACCTCTTTTGTTCCCACCCACAGTAGTAGCTGTTGCGGAAGATAAAGCCCTCCCTCCGCCAGGGCTGTGGCCAGAGGCTAACCCAGACCCTAGCTTCGTTTGGAGGGCAGATAACTGAAACCACAGGCGGCTTTGGAATCCTGAGAAACGAGAAATCCACCAACGGAGAAGGATTTATTATCTATTTCCTTTAAGGAGGGTGCAAAGCTGTTCTAACAGTTTCCGTTACAGGGTTCCCAACTGGCCGCTCCCCCGGAACAGACAGTTCTGTTAAGTTATAGCTTTTCTTTCTTTCTTCTGCTTTTTTGGGCCCACTTTCTACAAGAGAGAAACTGCTTGAGTAAGGAAGGAGAAAGGAGCCCTGGGGGGTCGTTCTCTGAAGTTTCCTTCACCGCCCTCATCAGCCACGGGAGGTGGGGCTGCGGGCTGCAGCAGGAGCGAAGGTCCCGAGCAGCCGGAGGAGGGGAAAGTCGGGGGGAACCCCCACTTTCTTCACGCCCAGGACGCAGGGCGCCGCTCCTGGCCACAGAAGCCCCAAGCAG